CTTTGTTCTTTAGCAGAAATGTATTTGGGCACTATGGCGGCGTGGATCGCACACTTTTTCGGGCTCTAGCAGGGTTCTATCAGGCCCTCCAAAATAGTTGCCTCACCATTGCCCTCATAGAGCCCGCCTAGTGCCCAAAACAGTGCCCGATCCACCTCTGTATAGTGCCCAAAAATTTTTTTGCTTCTAGGAAGAAGATTTCTTCATTTTATGCAGAAATGTATTTGGGCATTATGGAGGGGTAGATCGGGCACTATTTCGGGCTGTTGCCGGGCCCTCCAAAATATCTGCTTCACAGGTGCCCTCAAAGAGTCGGCCTAATAGCCAATGTCGTAAAGGCCCTGAGCCGTTAAAAGGCTTCTGGACTCAAATAGAAAGATTCCCCAAGCAAGCCAAATTTGCCTCGATGGCTCATGGCTCCCCCCCAGCCCCCTCCATGTCAATGTTGTTAGCCGGTTAGAAATGTAGGTGCACAAGGCTGGTGCTGCTTGGCAATGCCTGGCCGATTATGCGTGTTCGGCAACATTGACATGGAGGGGGGGCGGGAGATGTTCAGAGTATTCGGGGAAGAGTGAAAAATAGCTTTGCGCGTGCCCGGAAAAGAGTGCTTTTTCGCAGATTGACCAATGTGTTTTTAGAGTGGGCTTCTAGTGGTAGAGTGTGGGCTTGGTGGCCCTAGTGGGGCTAATGGTTTTCCCACCTTCTCAAAGTGTGTGGAATGGTTTTATCTAGCTGATGGCTGTCTTTTTTTGTGTTTTTCGATTTCCGGTTTTGTCATTTTCGTGGGACTTCGAGGATACCGCACGATGCTGGAGGACTGGAGAAGCAAACTGTAGAGCTGCTGCCACAGACTTACTCGGTCGCGAAAACCTTCAAAAAGGAAGCTTGCAGGGCCCGGTTTCAGGATGCCAAAACCGGCTAGGTTCGAAGGTCTCCAGAGTAACTTGGTTTTCGTTTATATACATCGTAGACAAGGGTTTTCGCACAATCCTCATTTCCGCTCTCTATCTCTCTTCTTCTATGGGCTGTAGGAGAACCCCAAGACCCAGTCGCCCCTAGCCCGCACAGGTTCATGTCCGGTCGGTCATCCAGGTCGGCTCGGAGTGCTACACATGACAAAATACTCCGTGGTCTAAGGATCCCCAACCCTCAATTGCTTTGTGTCCCTGCGCCCCGCGTGCACCAACTACACGCTTGTATTCCCTTACCAGCAGGATTTGTTGGAGTTGTTGATCACCTGTTGAACTCTTGCCAGTCAGATTTCCAAGGCATGCCAAGATTTCATCCTGCGTCTACTCCGCATTCATTAGCAGAAACAGTCCCCTTAGTACAACTCTAGGAGCTTGGACTTCTCTACTTTTCACGGAGGAGATTGGTCCTTGCTTTTCATGTGTCAAGTATGGCATCAGCAATTTAAGGATCACACATATCAATACTCGCAAGAAGTACAGTAGGATAACACCAATCCACATGCAATGGGTCTGCCTTCCTTCCCCCCTGCGCTGCTGGCAGCGACAAACATGTCTAATTAGTGCAAGCTCAGCGGCGGATCTATAATCACACCTTGCAAACCCACGTCATTATCATTGTGAACTTCTTCCACCTTCTGCAGAATGTTGTCCTGAGACAATGCCATGGCCAAGCACCGCCGCAACAAAAAAAAAACGCCCGCCTGCCCAAGCAACGGGGCAATACATGAAACAATGGCATCGGTTTGGTTACCTGTTCTCCGGCTGCCTACCCTCAGGTTGAATATAGGGTCAACGGTCATGGTATCGAAGTTGTCCACGCCAGTGATAAAGTGCTCGTCACACCAGTTCAGGATGGCGCCGTTGTCCTGCTGATGGCGTGCAACGTCCGTAGCTGCTTCGTGTTTGCAGCTAAGGTATCGACAAGTGTTAATCACTTTTTGAATGGTGAAAAAATCACTTGGGTGTCTTTGTTTGTTTTGTGTATTTGTTCTTGTTTTTTGGTGATCCTAGGCATTCTGTAAACCAAAATGTGAGGACGCTCCACGCGAGAGCTCAATTTTGAGCCGAAGTTTGAAGATGCTCTGCACGAGAGCTCAATTTGGTGTCAAAATGGAAAAAGCTCCACGCGAGAGAGCTTATACTTGGAAGAGAAATGAGAATAAGTAATACGGTTTTCACTAATAACCACAGTAATCATAACGGTAACGATAAAATGAGAGGACGCATTATGCATACTTATAATAAGAATAAGACGTTACAAACGAATAACAGCAATAATCGGCATCATCATCCCTTGCACTTCCTTGCGGCAAACGTGGCGTTGACATATGTTGTTGTGGTAAGCATGGATGGTGGCCTTATGAAAAGCGAAGCGGTTAGCGGGCATCCACACAACCTTCCCTTAATTACTGTAAACATGCTAATGACATGATGCTTGTTTTTTTGCAAGCATGGATCGCCTCAACAAAGCGGGCGTTGGGCGTGTCCCAGCCCCATGGTAATGAAATGCTTTTTACCGTAAGCATGGATGGATTTAAAAAATCTGGGGGGTTGGGGGGGGGCGCACCACCCCCATTTGCACTGCAGACATGTTGATGACACGTAAGAATCTGCAAAAAAACAGGAGGGCTTGGGGGAGAAGCGCCAAGAAGCCAGGAAGAAAGCCAAGAAACCTGAAAGCCCAGAAGCCAAGAAGCCAGATAAGCCAAGAAGCCGAAAGCCAGGAGGCCGGAGAAACCAAGAAGCTGGAAAGCCGGAAGGCCGAGAAGCGAAGCCAAGAAGCCAAGAAGCCCAAACGAAAATCCAGAAGAAACACAAAAAAACAACCAAACATAGTACTCCATTGTTGATTACCCCGCAGGGTTTGGGAGGGTTTGGGGTTTTCGCTTTTGGGTTACCCCTTTGTGTTACAAGGTTTTTCCACAAGATCGCACGAAGAAATGCTTGAGGTGTGGCATTTTGCATGTCGCTCAACTGCGGAGCCTCCAGAGTTCCACACATGTTCATTCTGCCTACAACAAACCATCAGGTCCTTCTGCTGATCAATGAACTTCAGCTTTGTGTGCATCTGGACCTTGCAGTCATTGCCGGCTGTCACTTTGTGGGGTCTTGACCAGCTGTCTCCACAATAAACTTCAATAAACGCCACATCCTGCTTGATACTTGCAAACAGCCTTCATGCTGGATTTGTTTTCCAATGATGAGCAGCTGCCAGGGTCTCCGTTTTCGCTTCGAAGGTGAAAAGCAGAAAGCCTGAAATCAGCATGTCGCTCGTTTGGCCGTGATCTGAGGCTGCTTAAGTCAAGAGGATCTGGCCGATAATTCAGTCTTGCACGTAACTTAGTGGCTGCATGTTTCCATGTGAGTATCTTGCGGGCAAGATGCGCCAGTCTTCGCGGTATGCCAGATTAGCCTCAGTGGAGCACCAACGCCGCGTAATGCAGGTTCAAAGAAAAGTCTGCAACAAGAAAATGTCCACCGCACTTGGCCAAATCATGTGCTCTGCTCTTCACAAGAGCTGGCAACTGCGATCCAACTACCACCCCAAATCTACATGCAAAAAGCCAGCTCCCAGTAGAATCTACAAGTACCTGCTTGCAACTTGCCCCAGGTCATTCTGATGCAGACGCAACCGCCAGCCGAGTAAATTTGGCTGTGTTTGTTCCCTTCTGCATAGGATTCCTGCATCCCACCGCAACGCTGCCTATGGCGTTAGCAGGGCACCTGCTTTTCGTATTGACAAATCTGCATTGCGGGCAAGTCTCAGCGTGGAGACGTGCCCTAATGACATGTGTGCTGTGCGTGTCGGCCTCCCAGCTTGTCTGTCACAGACAAGCTGGAAGTGGGAGCTTCACGATTTTTTTCCTAGATAAAGACTAGATCTGGATCAGGGAGGCTGCCCACTTCAGCCAAATGAACTCTGAAAACATTTTGGGAACATTAGTTTCCTGCTCCTGAATGACGGTGCTCTCAAAACCCTTCAGGCTTGTAGGGTACATAGGTATGTAGGGCATAACAGCATAACACACATCCTTGCTCGCTACATTTCACCTGCAGCCAAACACAGTGCTACGCGTGTTGGCTGCTTTGCTGGGTTGCCTGAAGACAAGGCATTGAGCTGATAGCAGGAGTTGGAAACTTGCTTTGTCTTCGGCTTCGACTTGAACGTTCATACAGTCAGCCCGAAAGACCGTACTTTCCGTACTGCTCCAACAGAATGAGTGATACAGATTCTTGCTATAGCTTAGGCAGAGGATAGACTGAGTAGGAAGTCACGGCCTGCTGTGCCTAAACGTATCGAACCTTTGAGTTGTTGTCGGTGAAACAATGACGGCGACCACCTTGAAATGGAGGAGAGCACGTGCAAAGCATGCCCAGAAGCATCTGTTTGCAGCTACTTTTTCTCCGTATGGCGTTTTGCTAGCTATGTGGTCATGCTTGCAGCTGCCATGCCTTCAAATTGGTGGCCGCTGTGCCTGGGCTCTAGTGCTGGCTGGCTGAGGTGCTGCAGCCCTGAATGGGCTCCATCCACAGGCATGGCTGTCAAATGCCAAGGCTCCTATACGGTCAAAAATCGGTGACAATTTTCCAGCGCAGGATGTTGAATTCTAAATATCATATGCGTGAAGTACATCAGAAAGAAGGTACAGTAAAACCTGCAAGTTGACAACGGCCTTCAACCACCCACTGATGAGGGGGTGAACCAGCGACCAAAACACTGAGCCTAAACTCTTGGCGATTGCCCCGAGGCCAAGCATTCAACCTCCTGATTGGGGCGAAAGCATTGGAAAGCGCCATCATGCTCACAACTGGCATGCGGCCATTTCTACAACCATCAGAGTGCACAGTGTCTGCTCCAGGGGGAATGCAGACTCAAATGGCCGCACCCTGCTGTGGCCAATGCATGCTACGAAAGCACATTAGGTGATGGCACGAAGTCGAATCATGTCAGCCTATGACACGCCATGTAGGCTGCGCATTGCACGAGGGGATTACGTTCAAAAACCAGGCCAGCACGTGGCGGCCTCATCAAAGAGAGAAGGAGTTTGGCAAAAACCTGCTTGCTGCCATCGCGGGCTGCCTGTGCATCTGCATGACTTGCACACGCCTCCCCTTCCCAGCAGAAGCATCGCCGGCAAGAAAGACCTGCGATATGAAGGCAGAGTTCTTGGGGGCCACGGTGGCCAGGATATCCTCGAACACCTGCAGTGAGGGGCGTGGAAAGTTCACGCTCTTGTGGGCTGGAAAAGCTCAAAGCCAACATTCGAACTCTTCAGAAATCCATAGTAAACATCAGCACAAACAAAAGACTTTGCATGTGATGCAGGGCGCAATTTCATCCTAGAGGCTGGGAGTGAGTGCATTGAGCTCAGCATCCCGGACGACCGGTAATTTTGAGCTAAACCCCCCTTTCCCGGCCTTCGGGTGACTCCAGCGCAGAGCATAACAAGCTGCAAAAACCGGTTGAGAGTTAGCAGTCTCCAGCTCTGCACCACGTTCTGCCAGCTCTTCAGCGATGCTTAGCAGCAAAAGCCTGGCGGCGACAGAAGTCCACTCAAACAGTTCTTAATGCACAATTCTAAGGCACAAGATTTGCAGCTCCCTCTGCCATTGCTTTCTTTGCTTACAACCCTGGTGCGCAAGTACATGAGAGTATTACAACGTCTTTGTGTTGTATGTGCGCTGCCAGCCAAAGCGTTTGCACTGGGCTTCAGGCTTTCATCCAGCCCCTTGGCAATTTCAACTTGAAGTCCAACTTGGTAATTACTGCCCTTCCACTTTGCCACTGTAATTCTGCTGTAAGCAGGGAACCATCAGTCAAGAAACATGTTCGTGCACCATCAGCGAATTGCTTAGCACCCAAGTAAAATGATTATCTGGAGATCCCTCCATATGTTGCGTCAACAGTTGATTTGGTAGCCTCCCATTCCAACTTGAGTGGCCACCTTGGCCTGCTCACAAAAAGAAGGTCCCTTTCGAGAGCCAGGTGGACTTTTGGAGAGTCATGTGTGAAGCAAGCACGGGCGCGGGTGATGGTTTGAATACGTGCATAGCGCTGCCGGTACGGTAGTTCCCTTCCCGGCAGATGCTTGTTGTACCTCCGGCATGGCTCCACTAGATTGCAAGGCAATCGATGATGTGAAACATGCAGAATGAAGGAAAAGCACTCAACGGTAACTGATGGTTTAGGGTTCAGGGTGGCTTGCTGGGTTTCACGTCGCTTTCCTTCTAGGTAAGAAGCTGGAGGATCCGCCATCAGGAATGGAAGGCTTGACGGCAACATCGGCTACCTGCTGCTCTCATTGAACCTTAATCTAGCACCGATGCTCTACTTCTCAGCAAAAAAAATAGTCCCCACAATCTAAGCCCGCCCGAAGGCCATGAAGATGAAACTTGAAGCTATAGCGCCTTGCCGTGGTTTGGCCTGCGCACGGTAAGGAGGTCAGCGAGACGAAAGCCGAGATAAGGACCTGCACCTGCTCATCTTACGAATTGAAGCATGTCTGAAAAAACAACATAATCGAAAAAGGACCCCGTACTCCGCCTGGTATCCGTGAAAACCCTTTCGGTAGCCCCTACGGATGTCATACTGAATCATATTGCTGATATTTGGGAAGGAATGATAACTATTACTATCGTGGTTTCTACGACCCGTCCTTGTTTGCTTCAAAGCAAAGTAATGACTACAGGATACTACAGGTACCAGAGTAAGCTCGAGTAGTACTGGAGCACTAACTGATAGAGAGAAGAATAATGGCATCAGTAGTAGGAGCAAGTGATCTTCATTGTGGTGGTGGCGGCGGTGGAAGGGAGAGGAGGATAGCGGTGACTCCAACTTCTACCAATTAACCATGCCGTCGCTGCCACCATCGCCACCACCAGCACATCAACGTTCCTAATCCGATGTCGGGAATGGGCGGTAAAGAAGCTAGCAGAAGAGCCCACACGGCCAAATCTACGAACGGCGGGGCCCCCGACCCAACTACCGAATGAAGAGCGGTCAACTGTTCGCCAGTAGGCTCTTCATCATGCGGTGGGTAGTCGCCAAGTGCAGCCTTAAATCTTTGATATGCCTTGGCGATCGCCTGCCTATCCAGAAGATGTTCTTCGGCATCATTGGTTTGATCAATGACAGTGCAAAGCTTGATCTTTTTCTTAGGTGGAGCAATAGATCCACTGCTCCGGACACAGACCCTGCATCAATGCTGCAGGCTACTCGACAGGCCCTCCCCACCAACCCAGCTTGACCTCGCTGAGCCAAACTTGGGGGCTGAGTCGTGCCATCAGCTCCCGGCACTTTCCAGTTCACCAATGTAGACTCATAGTCCACCTGTGGCACAATGCCAATCAATGACTCTAACGAGGGAGTCATTGTTGACTCCGAGGAGTGTCCACAAAGATTTGCGGACATCATTGTCTGGCAATGTGGCCCGTTCCGCTGCTTGCCCCATTGTCCTGATTTTGGCAGCATCGTCTGGGCTTATGTCTATATTTGGTAGCAGGCTCCAATCCACAGCGAGATCGAGGGCCGAGTCTAACAAAAATTGGGGCCTTCACCTGAGGCTAGGTCCTCGAGCAATAGCTCTAGCGCTGGTGAAGGTCTCAAATCCCTCCCATGCCTCCCAAGAACTCATTCGCTTGATTATTACTCCCATACCGCTGCGCTCTATTCATGTCAACAAAACACAAAAAGCGGCGAAAACTCATGGGTGAGTGGAGGATCAAAAAACACCAAAACAGTGATCAAAAACAAGAAAAGCGGAGCCGCAAAAATCAAACGAATAAGGATCAAACAAGAAAAGTGGCTGACGTAGTGGAACGAAGGCAAATCCGAGAATCGAGAACAAACAAGACTTGTGAAAGTGATGAAAGTTGATGAAACGTCATCAAAGTTGATGACAAATAGCTAAGAGCCATGAAAACACATGAAATCAGTCGAAATGATGACAAATTGCGAAATGATGATAAATAAGGAAGAATCACGAAAACCCATGAAAATGATAAAAAGAAAAAAGATGGCGCACAGCCAGGACAATGTGTAAAAATATGAGGAATCATGAGATATTCAGGAAGATTATGAAAAGTCAGAAGAATATTTAGGTCTGATGAAACATTCTGAAAGTGATCAAATACGATGAAAAGTGATGGAAACTCATAAGAATAATGCAAAAGAAGAGACATGAGGAAACATGATGAAAGACCATGGAAACAATGAAAACGATGATAAAGCATAAGAAAGTAAAATCATGAAAACTCATGAAAATCATAAAGACAAGTACTGAAAATGCATGCCAAAGCATGTGAAAATGATGAAAATGATGAATAAACAAAGAGGGAAAGTCATGAAAAATCATGGTGAGGAACATGATGACAGATGCTTGCGCGAATGTGCTTTGTAGGATAACAGCGGGGGGTTGGGGGGACGCAGCCTCCCCGAATTGCCAAAACCTGAACAAATCAAAACCTGTGCTTTCTTCCACGGCTTTTGATCTTGCAATGTGATGTGATACATGATGAGGAATGGATGCAAACTTGTGAAAAGGTAAAACATGACAAACGATGAAACTTGTGAAAAATAATGAACATGATGAAAAAGGAAATCCGTGAACAATCATAGGTGAGGAACATGGTGACAAATGTTTGCGCGAATGTGCTTTGTGAAATAACAGCAGGGGGGGTTGGGTGGGGGCGCAGCCCTCCCAATTGCAAAACCTGGACAAAGATTAGAACCTGCGATTTCTTCCGCCGATTTTGATCTGGCAATGTGATGTGATAGATGATGAGAATCGGATGAACGTCATCTAAAAGGCTGGCGTAGTAGAACAAAGCCAAATCCGGGGATCAAACAAACGTGGCTGGCGTAGTAGAGCGAAACTAGGTGGTAATCACCATAGGAGCACTCGCGCGGCAATATGTTTTACAGCCAGGACATATTCACAAGAGCAATTACATAGCAAAGCAAAGCCATGTTGAATTAGGTTTTGCTCTTGAACCTTCTTTCCCGCGTTTTCTCTAGCATTCCAAGGTTTTCGTTTGCTTCCAGTCTTCTTGTTGTATTTCGGTTCTTTCTGTCCTTTCCGTCTGTCCTACTTTTCTTCTTTTTGTCTGTGTTTCCTTTGTTCTTTTGTTGTGTTATCTCTTTCTTTCTTTGTTTATTTCTTCCTGTTCTTGGTTCGTTATTTCGAGCTTTCTTTATTCTTGTCATCCGTCCGTTCAATCTTTGTTTGTTCCGTTATTTCTTTCTTTATTTCGTTCTTTCTTTCTCTCGTTCTTTCGCTCTTTCTATGTCTTTCTTGAGTTCTTCTTCTCCTCACTTTTCTTGAATTCTGTCTCTCTTTCTTTCTCTGGTCCTTTATATCCTTCTTTCTGTCGTTCTTTCAACTCTCTGCCTCTGGTCCGTTATTTCTTTCTGGCTGTCGTTCTTTTGATCCTTCTGTCTTTCTTTCTTTCTTTGTTTATTCATTTTGTTCCTCCTCCGGCTCGGGGCTCCAATAACTTGATTTTTCTCCCTACTCGGGAGGCTACTATTGTGGAATTTCACTACAAAATTCAGTATTTTGTTTTGCAATCCCTATTTGTGCTGTTTCATCCTTTTTTTGTTTGTTGTTGATCTTTCATTTTTTCTTACCCGCCTCCCTAAACCCTAAACCCTAAACCCTAAATCCTAAATCCTAAACCCTAAACCCTAAATCCTAAATCCTAAACCCTAAACCCTAAACCCTAAACCCTAAATTACCTGAAATGCCTTGCCAAATTCAATTGATAGTGCCAGAGCCTTCCAAGATGCTGGCCCTCGAGGCATCATAACGTAGGCCGCAGCATCCACCAGCTCCTGACAGGCTCTGCCACATGTGATGAACAATTGGGGAAAAATATTTTTCCCCAATTGTTTGGGACAGGGTGATATTAATCTTGGGCAGTTACCAAGTAGGACAAAACCATGCAAGAGCTCAATTGGAAACATACCTGCATGAGAACCCCAAATTCCTCTGCAGCCAACCCGTTTAAAACCTTGCGCTTCATCTATGAGGCTCTGAAACGTGATGCCAAGAGGCTTCAATACTGGTAAGCGGGCAAAATTGAAATCCAAATGGCAGTCTTGACGTACTTTGACAGAGTATCAGGCCTTCTTTCGTCTGATTCGTTTTCAACCACTTTTGGTGCCGCCTGCTCCGCCTTCACCTGATTGTGTACAGGTACTCCTACTTCGCCATCTTCCTCCTCAATGTCCTCTGCTCAACGTCTGCCTACTGCGACAGTGAGCACATCTGCCTTTGTAAAGGCTTGCGCTGGGAGGAAGATGCCCCGAAGCTGAAACCCAGAAACGGACTCAACTCTTCGGCCCTAAACTCGTGCTGGCTTAGTAATTTAGTGCTTGCAGCGGGGCGCCTGAATGTGCGCCTCCAAGCCAGCCGCTGTGGCGGGCTCCCGCTTGCTGAGCTCCGCGAAGCCCCAGCTGAGCAGATCAGACATGTCAATTGGCTGTGTAGGGATTCCGGAAATAGGATGACTCGGATCACTCTAGAGCATAGATCCTAAAACTCTTGGCTTCCGCGATTGAGGAGCTTCCTAGTTTGCCGCTACGCAGGACGCTACTTGAAGAGCAGCCATGATTTCTCAAAGCCTTAAACCTAAGCCTCAGAGCACCGTAATAGCGGATGTGCTGAGGTGCTGGTGATGCGGTGGTAACCCTCGTTTTGCTGCCGGCAGCAATAATACTAAGACAGCCGGCAATGGGAATGCGACATGGTGCGACAAAATTACTTCTACTGCTGCATGTACGGTCTCATTCAATATTTAAATGCTTTAAGCCTGATGCCCACCTAATTTGAAGGATGCAAGCTCCAAAATCAAAATTGCCATCAAGCCCATAAGGGCATAGGGACCAGAGTGCTCTTCCTCCTTTCCAGCGTGAACACGCCATGCACATATCCAGAATACTTACAGACCACGCTGACTCCAATCCCTAGCCAGCAGCCACAGGCAGCCCTTGTTCTGCTCTAACAATCTAATTTCAGAAGGAGCAACAATTCCCAACAACATGCTTGCATAAATGATTATAAATGAATCACTAAGGCATGCTGACGCGGACAAGCGCAAACTTGTCGGCAATGCTAGTCACACTTTGTCTAATCTAGTCTCATGGTATCATGATTAGCCGCTTCGTGATTCCATGATACGATGTACCAGGATGGTCGTGCAACCCATCCAGTTCAATGCCAAGTTTCAGCATGTTGGTGACTTCAAAAGGCTGGCAGTCTGTCAATGACCTGTCAGGGAAGGAGTCTCTCCTTCGATACAGTGCTTTGAGTTGTGTTTTGTTTTTGGGCTGAAGCATTTTGCAGCCACGCTGCCTAGATGCCACTCTCGCAAGTACCCCCAGCAAGGATGGCACAAAAATCCGCAGAACCGCGCAGGACCAGGTAATAATTGTGCAGCAGTTGGCCGGCATGCTTGTATCTTGCAGCTGGAACTCCTGCTGCGCCTTGCACTCAGCCATCTCCAGCATTAGCTGGAAGACTGAATCGCTGGTGACTTGCTCAATGCTAGGTTTCGACCCCTCGCACGCACGCGCGAGCCGATGGATAGCCGTGGCCAGGTTGACACCGTTCATGAGGTGCAAGTTCATCGCAGACACCCGCAAGACCTGACATGCATCCATGCGCATATGACTGGAACTGAAGCCACATGACATGTTCCACGCGATGCCTTGCCGACGGAATCCGCCTTTCTGGACTTTGCCGCGCTGGTGAGGGCCTCTTTAAGCTTGGTTCCAATCGTCCAGTGTTTGGATGGCTCAGCTCAAGGTGAACAAGCTGGTGGGTCAATTGTGCAAACGCTTTCAGAGCTCCTACGTCCGTTAGGGGTCTAACACTAAGCGTGATCACATCTTTCACCTTGAGGCCTGGCATGAACACTATGCGATTGCCTTGTTGATGCGCATCTGCACGGTGATGTCATCGCTGTCTGCTGTGTTGGGCAAATCCACCGCGGGCACCTGTCAACACCCGGGCTGTCAACTCATGCTTTCTACTTTCAGGAGATACTTGCAGTCTGACGGCTTGGCGGCCCTGACCGCCGCGTCCGCGAAATTGCGGCTCCTTTCTTGATAAGGGGAAAGGGTGAAGCCGGTGAAGCCTAGCTTTCTACAACCACCAGCCTGGTAGGATGCAACATTGGCTTGGAATGCTTTTGCTGTTCGTTCTTGACGGTTTTGTTTCTGCTGGAGGGGGGGAATGTATTTCAGTATTTTGCAATGATGAAAACTGCCGAGGCTAGCATTCATCTATTGAGCTTTGGGGGTGAGCTTGAGTGCAGACGGTGGTTGGCCCACTTGACTTGCAGCTTCGGAACAATTCTTCTTTGAGGTGACGCTAGTGGTGTGCAGTCTTTGTACAGTTCATGAGATGATTTGATGGCTCTGCTCCGAGAACAAGCATTGTGGCTGACAGGCAACTGAGTCCGTGGGTCCGTGGGAGAGAGGGTTGGGAAGGCCCTGGCTTGGCCTCTATTTGGGGGCTTGGTTTTGTCTTTGCTGCTGGCTCGCTGAAAATCTCAGCACGGACGCACCATAGCCCAAAACATCCCAAATCCGTCTGCCCTCCCTTCCCACACACATGAGGGGGCTCTAAGCTCCTCATGAAACTGCAGCGCAGATCTGCCACGATCACCATTCAGATTCACGTGCGTCGATCGGCCAGCTGGCTCTGTGTGCAACCGAGGACAAGGCAAGGGAATCTGATGAAATGCGTCTTCCTGCCGGTAGCCTGCACTGCCTGTCATGCGCTCGTGGCTGCTCGACCTTGCTGGATTGCGAGCCCTCCCGAAGGACGGGAAGCATGCAGGGACATCTGGCACACTTGTAGGTATCTCCGACCCGCAGCTGAAAACATGGTCAGAGAGTTCTAAGTGACCCTCGAAGCCACACATCGGAAGTGGGTCTGAGATCCTGAGCCCTGGCTGTGACCACTGCAGGGGGTCTGGATACGAGACCGCCTCTGGAGGGAAAGTTGCAGATCGCGGCGCCAACGCACCGTTGTCCAGCCACGAGCTAGGGTCGAGATACTCTTCGCCGTCCTGATTTGGAACTTCCGGACCTTTGTCCAGCGTCCCGGCCATGATTCAGGCACACCTTTGGTTGAGACTGCCTGGTAGATCCCAGTTGTATCTATCGAGGCTCCACCTGGTCGACCCTGCGCTTTTGTTCCCGAGCACCTGGCTTCAAAACCAACCTGATATTTGTACTGGATACAGGTGGTCCCAGTATGAGATTCCAATAACACGCGCACGGGCGACCCCTTTATCTACGACGACCTCTAATCACGTAGGAGGCGCCTAACAGAGCCAAAATTTCACGTCGACAAAATGAATTCGGGCAGTTGAATCGGACCTGGTGTGGCAGAACCGCTTCAGTCCAGTGGGCAGCACTCACTCCGATGCATCCGTGATAGACAGCAATCTTCAGGAGAACATTCCCAGCTTGCAGCCAACATCATGTCATATCATGAACGTTGAGACAAGCGGCAGCCAGTGACAACAGCCACTCAGATTTGCCACTTCCAGGAACGCCTGTGATGACAGTGACCTCTCCCGGCACGACCCTGTAGAACTTGTCCAGGCCCGGCCACCCTGTCAGCTTCACCACTAAAACCGAGCTCCTGCCCCTGTCCCCAACCTACCAGTCCACCAGGTATATCCAAGTATGGCCCACCAAGTAAACGCACGGTGCAAAGCTCGAGGAATCGGGTTGCTGCAAACAAGCTACACTTCATGCGCTCTCTGGCCCAAGCACCATCTCACTTAGATTGCTTTCAAGAGGCGCGGTACATGCATTACGTCTGCACAACGCTGAAATGTAGAGCACGCAGCTGGTGCAGCTGGTCTGGGCACCCACTAAAAACCTCCCTGCGGGCACGTCCAGTCCCTTGCAGGAGCCTGTTGAGATTCCAGACCTGGTGCTGGGATCCACTTTGCCTGGCGAGCTCACAAGCTGAGGATGGTCCGTGCTTCAGAAATCTGAAAAAATCTGCTTCCTCATGGTGCCGTGAGGCCGTTAAGCATGTGAAGCTATGCTCAAGCCTGCGACCACGTCCCTGAGATACTGCATGATGTCCTCCCGCATGCACGACCGACGGCCGTGAGGATCTGAAAGAGCTCCAACTTCTTTGACAAGGACCCCATTTCGACCATCACGCTCACAACACTGATGTTTCCCCCAGAGCACAATTTGGAGCTGACTTGTGTCCTTGTCCTTGAAGCTTTGCAACACCAAGGGCGGCTGAATGAAGGGGGCTTCGTCCAAGAGTTTCCTAGGCTTCGCTTGGATGCAATACCAGGAGTTCTGCCCTACTGCGTGGAGTGTGTATTAGTTTGCCGCTTGTTAGACAAAGCGGGCGACATCAAGATAGCACGTGCAGTTTGCTTGTTATGCAATGTCCAGCAACTGTCAAAAATGAGTGACCTTGGCTGGAAGTACAAAGCGCGTCTACAGTTCCAGTGAGGATCTTAAGCCTCTCTTCGCCATAGGTGCAGAGAACATCATTCGCATCCTGGCGCAGCACAGAATTCTTGCTCTGAACCGCTACCCACAAACTCCTTTACAGCCCAATGCCCGGATAGCGCGAATCTACTTTGCTACATCTTGCATGTTTCTCGAAAGCGATTAGCTGAGATAGCATGACTTCATTGCATCAACACGTCAACTGACACCTCTAATCAACTGGATGAGCCTTGCAGTCTTCAGGCCAGTTCACCCTGCGGCACCTGTACTCAGCGCAGCTTTGCAGATGAAGTTGCTCAGGACAAGCGTTGCCAACGCGTGGCAATGAGTGAAGCAGCAGACTCTCCTACACGGTTGCCTCTTCGCAGGTTCCTATCATGATCGGGATGTAGAAGCCTACAAATGCCTGATTGGCGGAAATGAATCGGACTGTTCTTTAATCAGATTAGTCCCTACTGGTTCAGGCACTGCTGCCTGTCAAAGCCAATTTGCGTCGCCAGCGTTTGAAGAGCTTCCTGCTGGGCGTGCGAAAGAGCAGCAATTGTAAAGCTAACTGCAGCCCAGCGATAACAACGACAAAATGATGATGACCACCAGCTCTGGCCCTGTCTTGCAACTTTACCTACAAAAACTCTCCTGCACTGGTGTCCTTGATTGCCTCTGAGACTACAAGGGCAAGGCAACGAGCGAAGTCACCAAGTCCGCGACCTCTCCAGCCTTGTCACCATCGACGGCCAAGATGACCTCCTCCGCATTCTCCAGCGCCTCTCCCGGGTCCCGGATGTGTTCACTCAACGTAAGGAGTGACGGCAGTTATGGCCAAACGGCGTCTTGCCTTGTTGAGACTGCATTTCGCGAATGCCAGATCAAGTCTGACCCACAATTGGGGGATGTCAGAGGTGACATGGCGCATGCAAGAACTGCGCCTCATCAGCTCCGAAGTCTAGGGACAGTCCGCCTCACGAGTTGCAGTTCTACCACGTCAGCAGCAGCTACTCAGCCTCCTGACCCGAACCCGCGGGTTTGAGAAGTACTCCTACAAGTTTCCTGCCGCCCAAAGTTCACTGGGTCACTGTGATCCTGTGCCTGGCAACTGCGAACCCTAAACTTGATGAATTTTGATGAACGCCCCACAGATCATTTCAACTGACTGCACCTGCGCAGCCGTTCTGGAGCGACGCACTGCACCTCAAAGTCTCAGCCACGGGGCTGGCCGGCACGAAGCAGCACAACGCATTTTGGTCCGAGCGTCACCAAGAGGCATGCTAGCTGCCAAGCCAGTGGAATGCTATAGGGGAAAGGCCTTCTACTCATCCAGTGTTCCTATAGCTTCGCGCACCCGCGGGTTGTTTCAACCAAACAATAGGGGAAGGGTGTCGACAGCCAGTCGCAGCACAGAGTTCACACTGGTAGTCATCAAGTTGCTCTTTGAAGCCTGTCTTGCATGTCGGTATGCAATGCAACGAGCACAAGCACACGTATGCAGTTGTCCCACGGTTGCAGTCCAAGATGGTGGTGTTCGCGCTGGATGCGGCATTTTGGATAGAAAATCTGTAGGGTTGTGCCAGGTTGCTGCAGCAGACTAATCAAAAACGCTGTGTGGGGCTCGGGGCCTTGGGTGTGTCCACAAGTTGCTCTTCACGTAAACAGAATTCGACAAACAACAGATCAGCTGGCAGAAAGCACACATCAAACGAGGCAGCAAAATGCAATCGCATCCTGCTTGCAGAGAGATAATGTTCATAGTTGTTCTTGCATTGCATGTGAGCTTGCATGGCTGACTGGCCCACGGATGCCTATCTTCCCTATCACGGCTGTGGGCCTTTGCTCGGCAGTTGTCAAGCACAACATGAAGAACGGGTGGTTGGTTGAAGGAACGAAGGAAGGACGGAGGGAAGCAGTGTGACTTTCCCCTACAGGACAGGATTATGCATAGTCCTCATCTAGTCACTGCTAGTCCTTGCTCAGTTGGCTGGCTCCGGGTGGCCATGCACATAGTTTGCGCTTGGCACAGGCACTTCCACGCAAGTAGCCGAGGGTGTTTCAGGCTGCTTTCAACAATGCTATGTAGCACAGACTCCTTTGATCAGAGCCGCACCTGTACCCGGCAGCTTCCACGGACAGCTTGTCGATCTCACCCTGGACACAAGTCTCAAGAACACATCTTCTGACTTGGCACTACGCGTCAGCACAGGTCAGTGATGACCAGGCTTTTTCTCATTACTCTCGCAAAGAAGTTGAAGGACCTCACATCCGCACTTGTGGGCCTCTGTGATGACGATGATTCGCTGCCCCCGCAAGTCATCCACCCCAAAGAGGCCTGAGCAAGCGGCGAGCGCTGCATAAACTGTGTGCCGTGGCCATCGTTCTCATGGGTGCAACCGATCGGTCTCATGTGGTAGGGGGGCCACAGCGTTTTCCGCCTTTCGTCTGCCAAAAAGACT